TGGCGTCGTTGCCATTTTCAATTTTAGTTTTGCCGTTGCCTTCGTTCGGTTTGGGTTCGTTACTGCCAACTTCCACTCCTTTGCCGCACTCACGCCACCTACTCCTCCCCTTTTGTGCTCTGCCACCCACGCAACGTGTGTCCTTGCGCGCTCGTTTCCTGTATGCTCGCTCGCTTTAGCCAAGCCACGCCAAACTGTGCGACAGCCCATGGCTCTGGCTGGGACTTGGTCTGACTCTGACCCGACCCATTGTCCCGGCTGAGCTGCCCCGTTCCGTGTACCCTCTCTTATTCCACCTATCCTTAGCTCGGCTCAACCATCCCGTTTCGGTTCAGAGTTTACATTTTATGTATGTTTGTGCAAGTGTCTGTGTTGTGCGTGTGTGTGGGTGTCAATGTGTATGTTTGGGTGTCTGTGTGGGTCTCTGTGTGGCCTTTTTTTACACAATTTCCTTGAGCGCGCACAGCCGACAGACCCAACACCCCCAACCACCAACTGGTTAGCGATATCCTTGATAATAATGTGTACAACACCAAAAAACAAGTGGACGAGCTAACATCTTCTACGCCCTCGCCCCCGCCCCCGCGTCCATTGCCGTCTCCGACTCCGACCCCTTTAATGTTCCACTTACTTGCTTGGTATTCCAGCTGTACTGAAATCCATTTTATTTTATTTCGGTTCTGTTTGCAGGACTTCTGTTCCTTTCCCGCCCCGTCGTTCTCTCTTCCACTCTGCTTGTGTGCGGTACGAAAGCCACAGCAAAATTAGTACCCGTTAGAGTACAGTAAATAAAAGTAGAGAAGAAATCGAATATAATTTCAGTTTTACTTTTAAGTTCAACTTAAAATGTGTCAAATATAGTAAAGAAAATATGACAAATAATAAAACTTTAATATAAATCAATGAATATGGAATTTGCTTTTATATTTGTCCACATTAGGCAAATTTCACTGTTGCAGAAATTGTTGAATGTTTAATCCACTTTCATTGATCTGCATGCATTTCACAACTACAGCGAATCTTAAATGGATTCAAATGTATTTGAATCCATTTAGGAAAATGTGAAAGGCGACAATTAAATATTTCAGATCTTAATTTGTTTATTGTGTTAATCAAATTTTGAATATGTTTGAAATATCGAATGTTGGCTAAACTACGTAAAGTGAAAGAGAGAAGATGGATGGTGGGAATGGCACATAGACATACATACAAAATTGAAAGAGGGCAAAGCTGTTTTATGTTATTGCTGTGGTGTACTTGTTGCTGCAGTCGTCGCAGTTGCAGTCTGGATACAAACGGTGCAGAAGTGGGGCATAAAACAGAAGACCAAACGAGTGAACAAATGAAGATCGCGATGACGGTGACGGCAACGGCAAGTTCTCTTATACTGTGTGCGTCTCTGTCTGTTGCTCGTTGCTGAGTCAATAACCTCGCACCGAAGGAGAAGAAGCACAAGAAGTAGCAGCAACCAACAAGCATGCGAACAAGAGGTATAAGCCCTCTCTACTCCAGTCGCTCTCAGCAAGAGTCGACGTGAGTAATGAGAAAAGGCGAAGTCAAAGTGAACTGAAAATTGTCGGAGCGTTATAAAGCCGCCAACAATCAAATGAAGGCGCGACGCGACGCATGGTAGGCAGCAGCAGCAACAGCAGCAACAGCAGCAAGAACAACAACGACGTGTACCTAAATCTAAATCCCCGCCCCAAGAATGCCAGCAAAATTACAAATGCATACATACATACATAGGTATGTATATACATACATGGTTATGTGTTAGTGTGAGCGTGTTTGACTGTATGTTGAGTCAAAGATGATCAGCGAATGCGCGGACAAGTGAACATAAATAAATAAAAATGTGTGTATTTAGGCATGTGTGCTTGTACCGAAAGCGCCACGGTTGGAATTGAAACGCGCCAAAAGGGACGAGAGTAGCCAATAATCAAAGCGACCCACACGCACACATACTGTCGCCCGTTCAGTCATTCATGCACTCATACTCACTCAAAGCTCGCCTGCCTTACATATACATACATATGCATATGTATGTACGTGAATGTTACGTCTGCACGTTGCACTCAAATTGTTTCATTTCACGAACACCGAGTCTATGACGTTAACCCACAATTTGCATGCACATGCAAAACAAAGTATATTAAAAGAAACATTTTAATTAAATAAATCCATTTATGCAAACTTGCAATTCTTGTTAAGGAGTGTGTGCTTGTGATTATGTTTAGAAAATTCTTTTAATTCGATTGAGTATTAATGGGGGCAAGCATTTGCATGGGAGCGAATTTATTATATCAGCATATTTAATAGGAAATCAACAAAATTATTATAGTAGACAGCTGCGGCGATGAGTTCTGGTTGTTGTTGTCGTTGTATATACATAAAACACAAAATCGGCGGCATTTGGCAAAGATACACAAAAAAGCACACATACATACACGCTCACTTACTTGTACACACATACACGCTTAAAAAGCGACTGACGGCTGCCAATTGAGCTAGAGATAATCAAGAGCACAAAAAGAATCTACAACAGCAACAACAAGTAAGAAAAACTCGTGTGAGTTAGCAAAGGGATTGGGAAAGGGAATGAGGGTAGCAGAGTGAGTATCGGCGGGCAGTGACGCCAGCAGCGACGTCGGTCGGAGCAAAATAAAAAGAATTTCACATTTGTACTGTCAGTCACAAATATTGAAACGACAGCAGGGCAGAAATGGTCGTGCGGTCTGTCGGTCGCGCAGTCAGTCACTCAGTCAGTGGAGTCGAGAGAGTCAGCGGCATCGTCAGTCATTTGCTGTGGTCAAAAAATATATATATACACGTCAAGTTTGCGCAAAAAAAATGAAATGAAAAAAAAAAACAACAGCACAGCAGTCGCTTCGGATGTTCCCTCCCCCATTCCCATACGCACGCTCCGCGCACCTTTTCATTGGCAGCGCGTCGACGTCGCCGTCGGCGTCGCGGTTGACGTTGTCGGCGGTGACAGCGTCAACGATAAATGCTCGAATCATATTGCCAACGCTTTGCTGTTGTTTCTATTGTTGTTGTTGGCGCGCGCTTGCTCAGCTCACACCCTCACACACACACACACCCGAATACAAATAAAACTTTTTTTGCTGCCGTTGCCGTTGACGACGCTTTGACCCGAGCAGAGGTCCAACAGTGCTGTTGCCGTCATAAAACTTTAACCGAAGTATAAGAAAAGGCACAAAACAGCAGAAACAAAAGCAACAGCAGAAGTAACAGACGAAAGAACACAGTTATTTACTTGCAATATTGTTTGTTGTATGCGTGCATTTGTTACTCTGGATTGCGTCTTACTATTTGTTAGTTAAAATTCCCTCAACTCCTTTACCTACACACGCACACGCACATTCATACATACATACACGAGCATAAGCACATGCACAAACGCACTCTCTTCATCCTCCGCTCACTTTGTGAGTGATAAGCAGACACATCTGTCGGTTGATGCGTGACAGCAGAAAGCGCAATAACTGTTATTAAAAAGCAAGAGGAGCAAAAATGAGCTCCACCTTTATTGTGGCACTGTGGGTTGCTAAACGTATGCTCATTAAAATGATTAATTCATAAAATTATGCATTTTCTTTTTCGCAACACAAAAAAAAAACAAAAAATGTGTAATTATCAACCACTGTGAAAACGCGTTGCCTTTGCCGTTGACGTCGCAGTCGACGTCGTCGTCAACGCCAGCGTTGACGTTGGCTTCGGTCCATTCATTGCCTCTCACACTCGTGCCATGACACGACATGGCTCTCATGTTTCAATTCCACTTGTAACGAGCTGTGCGCGTTTTTGTTTTCTCACTATTGTCGCTCTCAGTCGCGACGTTATCCCACAGATATTTGGTTTGCTTTTCGCCACCGCTTGTCCGTAAATTATCTCAATTGTAGATTAAATATACAAAATACGGTGAAAAATATAAAAAATATGTGAAATGCATAAGAAAGTAAGCCAAATGCATTCTGTGTGCCGTTTTTCAAGTAAGCATCTGTAGATGCATCTTTTATTTGCATTTATTTTCTTTATCCAAAAGGCCGTCAGACTATTTGTGTCTCAGTCAACGCTTAGTCAGCGGCGTCGGCAGTGCGGTGACGTCGTCGGCAGAGGCGGCACTTATATGCAGAATGTGTGAAATGCAAATGCAGGCAAAACTTTATGAATGAAATGTATAAAGAGAATTCAAACATATGTAAAACAAAAACAAAAAATACAGCTACAAAATGTACTCAGCTAAAAACTGCTTAAAGTATATCGAACGGCATTTTCTTTTTCGCCTTGTGTATGCATCGCTCGCCACAGTGGCTTATGTATGCGCCTGTAGGGCTAGAGGCTTTGTGTATATGTATAGTATGTTCGTTGTGTATTAAGGAATAATCAAAATACTTGTGTTTAAGGAGTTGCATAGTTTAATAAAGTCCGAAAATTGAATTAGATCGATTTTCATTTAATATAAAATGCAATTTATTCGTTTATTTGAGTTCGCCGCATTTTTTTTGCTACGCTGTGTGAGTTGCGCGCTGCGCGACGCCGCTAATTCGCTCTGTTTCTGTTTGCTCCTGAATGCAGGTGTAGTGGTGAGTGAGTGAGTAAGTAAGCCGCACAGAGACGCCGTTCTGTTCTTATGTTCTCTCACGTTGCTCTCAAGCACACAACTATAGCAACAGCGCGAGCGCTGCCCGTTTCCGTTCGTTTTGTGTATGGAAGTTGTATGTGTAGTTTTTTTTGTAGTTTTGTTTTGCTTTTCATGTTTCTCGTGTTTCCTCTTTGCGTTTAACGTTCGCATAGTCGCCGCTACCGTAGCGTTGCCAGCATTGAGAGCGAAAGCAAGATTGAGAGCGGCGTATTAAGCGAGAGTTGAAGAGAGTTCAAATGCTATAACTGTAATTTCACTGATATGCTAACTATTTGTTGTCTATTCTCTCTATTCTATTTATTTGCAGACAATAACAAGCACAACAATAACAAAAATAATAACAAAAACAAGAGATACAAAAACAATCAACAAAAACTTTGCACTTTAACATGAACAAAAATGCCGGCGATGGCAGCGGCAACGATGGCAAAAACTCAAACAATCACGGCGGCAAAGGCTCCGGTGCGGGTGGTGGCGCAGGGGCTGGTGGTCCCCATGATCCCACCGGACTATTAGATGCGGCATCGCTGTTTGGTACGTATACAAAATATAAAACTTTTTGATACATGGTTCAATATTTTCCATATGTTGTTTGTTGCTTTTCTTACCTGCAGCCTATTGGGGTCGCGATCCAACTGGTGCAGCAGCCGCAGCTGCTTCAAATCCGCTCTTCAACTCGCAGTTCAATGCAGCCGCTGCCGCCGGCTTGGGCTTGCTGCCAAATGCTGCGGGTGCAGCTGCAGCCGCTGCCAACGACCGTTATTCATCGATGGCTGCAGCAGCAGCGGCAGCTGCAGGCGCCCACCATCATCAGAACACAATGGCCGTCGCGGCCTCGCAGGCAGCCAGCCTAGCGGGTCTGCATCCAGCAAGTGAGTAAAATGTCGGCATCGACACTCGTCCACATTAATTAGCATACGAAAATCGAGACCAAAGCGCAATACGAAGTACGTACTGTGTCGAAGAAAGAAAAAAGAAGAGTAAAAGCTGCCACTTTGATGCACGCAAAGCAGCAGCTGTGTTGGCGCTGTCCGCTAAAATGTTGTTTAACAAATGAAAGCGAGACGTTGGAATTGGATCGAATTGGCATAGAGAAAGGAGTAGAAAGGCGCCGGTTCAAATCCTGTCGAAGTCAAGCGAAAATATTAGATGCTTAACTAAAGAGAACGAAGAAGAGAGAACAGAAAGAGAGAGAGAGCAGTGTGTGAACTTTTCTATATATATCAAATACCTATGGAGCGGAAACAGCAAGTGTCTCGTCTTCTGAGCGCGATTCATTTGAAGAAAACGCTCCTAGAATAAATTCGCTGTCTATTTATAGCTTTACGCTTGTCGGCTGCGACTTTCAATAGTTAAAGGTCCTGACGTGATGAATGGTCAAGCATATTAATTATTTTTGTTTGAATTAGTTTGACAAAATGCTGACAAAAATTGTATACAACATTTCTGTAGTAGTAGAACAAAGTTGAACAAATTATTAAAAAAAAAACATTTACTTAGCTTGTTAATGTATTGTTTTTTATTTTTTTTTCAATATAAGTAAATAATTGAAATTTAAAATTTAAGTTAAACTTCACGTATTTTGTATTTTGTATCTTGTTATATACAAATTTAACTAAATATTTTAGATATATATTTAATTATATTTTTTATTTGTAATTTTATTCAATATTGTGAAAATATGTTTATAAATTTTAATGATTTGTTTTGCTTACAGGTTGGTGGTCTATGGCTCAGTTGGCCGCGCAGGATTATTTTAGTCGTCTGCAGGCATCAGGTCTTTCGCCATTTCCTCATCCCGATCTGGCCGCTGCCTTTGGGCCCGCGGCCATGGCAATGGGTGGCGGCGGCACTGGCTCCAGTGGGGGTGCAGGCAGCGGTTCCGGCATGGTCGGCGTCGGTGGTGGCGGCGGTGGCGGCACTGGCGGTGGCAGCGGTTCTAGCAGCAAGTCGAACAAATCGCGTAAGGAAAAGCGTGCCGCTCAGCAGCAACAGCAGCAGGCACAGCAACAACAGCAGCAGCAACAAAATCTGGCCAACAGTTTGAATGCTGCAGCGGCAGCAGCAGCCGCAGCAGCTGCCAACAACCCAGCTGCAGCGCTGGCCAGCATGCACGGCTTTGGATTGCCAGGCACCAGCATGTCGACCTCTGGGAGCAGCTCCTCGATATCAACAAGCAGCGCCGGTCACGGTGGCTACAAGGTGGGTGGCAGCGGAGAGTGATGAATGGAAATTGGAGAGTGAATTGTGAAGCGTAGAGAGTCAAAGGAGGAAAGTGAAGTGGAGATCAAATAAGACGTTATTACCGACTGTTCATTATTGAGATCTAGATATATAGCTTTTTACATATGTGGATTTATATATATGATTATCGATAGATACTTACCCCTCCATTATAAAATCTTCTTGAAATTCAATATTCGGATGTTCTATATACAAAGTGATAAAATGAACTTAATATTAGCTTTTTGATTAGAAAAAGATTTTATAAGTATTTGTTTTTTTTCCCAATATTTATAACATGATTTCTAAGAGATTCTAGAAGGGACGGAGATTTCGTTGTTTGTCATAAAGATACCAAATCACAGATCAATTTATAGTTAGGGTCAATTCCTTATTTAGTTGTCTATAATATAATTCTTTGAAATATTGTAGAGTACTGCCAGCGCATATGGGAAGCCGTCGACGATGACCAGCAGCGGCAGCGGAAGCAGTATTGCAAGCAATCCCGGATCCGCGTACGATCCGGTCACCCTGCACAAGGAGCTGTTGGCTATGCAGGCCGTTGCAGCGGCCGCTTCTGGCTCTGGAGTGGGTGGCATGTCGGGCTTGGGCAGTGGCGGCAGCTCCAATAGTTCCTCCGGCAAGAAGTCTAGCGGCGGAGCTGTTGGGGGTGGCGGCGGCAGCTCGTCTTTGCATGCCCACGGCTTGTCTAATCTGGCCATGAGCCTCGGCGCTGGCAGCAGCAGCGGGGGAGGTGGCAGTGGTGGTGGCATCATGTCCAGCAGCAAAGCTTCCACCAATGTCAGCTCCAGCTCGAGTGGCGGCGCCTCGTTGGGCAGCATGCACCCGGGCTTGGCAATGTCGCCGCATGGCAGCATGTCAGGCAGCGGCATGGGCAGCTCTGGCAAGGATCGGGATCGCGATAAGAACAATCCGTCGCTGAATGCGCTCAACTCGCTGTCACAATTCGGAGCACTCGGCATGACGCCACAGCAGAGCATGCAGGCGGCCATGAATGCGTTTGCAGCCAGCACCGGTGCCAGCGCCACGGTAACCTCGTCAGCTCATTCGTCCCAGCAGCAGCAGCAGCAGCAGGTGCCCAGCACAACGATGGCCGGTAGCAGTGCAGGCAAGGTCAAGGACTATATGAGCAATGCGGCCATGATGAGCAGGTAAGCGGGAGTGAATAAAGTGAATAAATCTTAATTTGCATTAATGTCATTTGTCTTGCAGCAGCAGCGAGCATCCTTCGCTGCTGGGCGTGAGACTGCCGCCGGATACGGAGATCATTAAGTACACGTCGTCCATCGTGGGCCCCAAGATTCCTGGTAGTACTTCACGCGGTCGCAAGAAGACCATATCTGAAACAGAACAACAGCAACAACAAGCCACACAGAAACAACAACACCAAGCAGAACAACAACAACAACAGCAACACCTTACACAACAACAACAACAGCAACAGAAGGACTTAGAAAGCACAACAAATGCAATTTCCTCTCTGCTTGCATTTCCAGGGCTCAGTCCGGCAAAGCGTGCCAGACTCGAAATGGAGTACGCGGCAATGGCAGCGGCGGCGCAACAGCAGCAGCATCTGCACGGCATGTTGGGCGCGGCCGGCATGCCCATGGGTCTCGGCATGACTCCCATGGAGCAGTTGAGTAGCGTCTCTAAGGCAGTTGTGTCGGCCGCATCGTCATCGTCGACGGTGACCAGCACAGCTGGTGGCTCCACAGCGGGTCACAGCCAGAGCCATAGTCACAACCAAAATGCGTCCAGCGATCGCGTGGAAGTGATCAAGTTGCCCCCGACCATCACCTCCAACGGCGCATACAATCTGTCCAGCAAGGGATGCGGTAAGGAGCTGCACGACTTGACCGGAGATCCAGCGCTCGCTTCTGGCGTCAATCTTAGCCTCAAGTCGAGTGGTATGCCTGCCAGCGGTGCCATTGGGTCCGCCTCCAATCCCATTACCATAGACGACTTCGATGCTCCACTGAATCTGTCCATGAAGCCCTCGGATAAGAGCAGCGGCAACAATGTGAACTCTACAGGAGGCTCGTCATCTGCTGCCTCCTCTTCAACGGCTGCTTCGGCCTTGGGTAATCTGGCCAGCGATTATCAAGCAGGGCAGGCCAGTGGGGGCAATGGCTCGAACAGCTTGCAAAGCCTGAGCTCCATAACAGCCGCCTTGGGTGGCACTGGTGGCATGCCCGGTGGTTCTATCTCTGGCAGCGGCATCGGGGCAGGAGGTGCATCGCCCTCGCCAGCACAGAGCAGCTTGCCCGTCGCCTCGGGCACGTCGAGCTCCGGTTCCGGATCGGGCTCATCGACTTATAAGGAGGGACGACCGCGCAATTTGGGTCGCGGCGTTTCTAAGCCCAAGAAGAACACGGTGGCCTCGTTGCTGGCGCAATCGCGCGCCGTGGGACTGAAGCCCATGCTAGCTACACAGCAGCTGCTCCAGCAAGGCGCAGACATTGTAAGATAACGTATCTCTGGTTAGAATTTCAATTAACTGTTCGATCTTTTGCAGGAGAAGATACGCTTGGCGCTGAGCGAGGCGAATGCACACATGGAAACATCGACTGACTCAGAGAGTGTTGCCGCTGAGAGCGGCATGTCGGAGTCGGAGAGCGAGGATGCCAACATATTGAACGTGGCGGAGCTGCGTGTGCCATTGGAGGTCGGCTGGAAGCGAGAGACAGTCATACGTGGCTTAACTAAGCAGGGACAGATCCGAGGCGAGGTCACCTACTATGCACCGGGCAGCACCCTGCCCCTGAAGACCATTGGCCAAGTGTTTGCTGTGAGTTTGTAGGGCGCATTTGTAATTTGTAATACGTGAAACACACTCGTACACTTTTACAAGGACACCATTCTCTAAATGAAAAAGGAGCTAAGACTTGATTAACACATATTCCCACTCTCTTCTGTCTTTGCCTCGGTGCAGCTCTTGGATCAGCAGCCATCGAATTTGACGCGTGAAAACTTTAGCTTCTCGGCGCGTGCGATTGTCGGCTCGTTCCTGCAGCCTGCGCCGGCGCCTTATGCCAATGATGGCGAGTACATACGCATGACGGATGAGGATGTGGCCAAGCGGTTGGAGGATCTGAAAGTGTTCACGCGCCAGACGCTGAACGTGGAGCAGCGCATTGAGATCGCCAAGCAGCAGCAGGCAATACGCGACGCCAAGAAGCAACAGAAGGAGGAGCTGGCACGCAACAAGGAGAAGGCGCGACAGGAGAAGAATGCCAAGCTGGAGCAGCAGCGCAAAGAGAAGGAGCTCAAGAACCAGCAGGCCATTGAGGTGAGTCGAGAGGCAGATTGAAGCCAATCAATGCTTAATTATAAATAATTAATCAAATAATTACTAATGTCAATTAAATTTGCAGGAGCGCAAGAAACGTCAAGAGGAACTGGATCGCCTTAAACAGGAGGAGTTGCTCAAGAAGCAGCAGGTCAGTTACTGTTCAGTCAATGTGCTGGAGTCCATACGTAGTTCTTTTTAAATTCGCATTTTCTTTGTAATATTTAGGAGAAAGAGAAGCGACGTCAGGAAGCAATTCTAGCTAAGGAACAGGTACAACAACAACAACTATTGAACATATTTGTTACTATCTGCGTATCCTGTGCTCCTTTTTTCACATACTCTGTGCTTACGTTTATCCTCGATGCGAATTATAATGCTATCTGATCCTATTTTAACTAAATTCGAATCTGATTAGAATGCGTTTAAGTTAAAGTTGCTTATGTTGTTTGAGTTCAAGTTTTATTTACACTTTCTATTCGACTATAAGCTAATTGAATTGACTAAATTAGATAACATTTGACATTAATGATAGTTGTGCGAGATAATTGGGTATATCTAATAGTTATATATGTAGTTCTTGTTAAGTCAATTAATGCAAAGTGTGATATCAAAATCAGTTTTGATTTAATCGAATTGTCAGATCATAAACTTACTTTTGTTATCTATCAGCTGTTTAAACTCTATTTGTAGTCTTTGCTCAGAAGTCAAATTTGTTTATTTACTTTGTTTAAACTCCTCTTTATTTCTTTTATAATTATATCTCATTAGATATTATACGAATAGTCACAAATACCCTTTAGTTGCAACTCATTTCCGTATCTTTTGTATTAGTTTTTGTTTTCTGCCTAAAGCGCTTCGATTAGTTTCCATTTGAACTTGAATAAACTCAAATTTTCGTTCGCATTACTTACTTAATTTGTCTCTTTCCCAAACAGGAACTCCAGAAGCAAAAGGAGCTGCTGCTAGCTGCCGAAATGGTAATTGATTCGCTGTTCACTTTCACTTTTCAAGCATTTAACATTCCATTTCAAATTGTTAGGAACGTGAACGTCGTCGCCAGCACATGAATTTGATTCGCATGCTGGAGCTACGGCGCAAGTTCGAGGAGCGCGAGAAGAAGAAGCACCAGCTGGTGCTGGATCGGCTGATACTGCGCGAGCGGCGCATGGCTGAGCGTAAGCGAGATGCAGAGATACTGCAGCTAATACGCAAACCGAATGAGGATTCGGAGTTGCCGCAGGAGCTGTCTGTGCCGGATCTGGAGCGCATCGCTGGCAATCGGCTGCCTGGACAGGCGATGGCCGATTTGCTGATGGTCTTTGAGTTCTTGCACAACTTTGGCGAGACGCTGGGCTTTGACATGGAGTCGCTGCCATCGCTGCAGAATCTACACGATGCGCTCATCAGTGACAGCAACGCAGATGCCGAGGAGGAGCTGTTGTCGGTGATGACGCATTTGCTGGTCTGTGCCATCGAGGATCCGGGCGTGCCCAATCCCGGACGCCATACCACACTGCTGGGCCAGTCGCTGCGCAACGCGGACATAACCAATTCGAATGTATCCGAAATTCTGCGCATCTATCTGTACGCCACGGCCACCGGAGAGATACGACAGATGCATGGTATCACTGTGGACAGAGAGCGTGAACGACGTGTGCCTGATCATCACCAGGTGGATGCAGATACGGCCACGCACTCGGCCAAGAATCATGAGTACTACAAGCTACTGCACGAGAACGACACCTGGAAGCTGTCGCATGCGCTCAAGGATCGTCCCTTCGTGGCGCTCAATCCGACGCGCAAGGCGCAGATGCTGGCACACCTGTGCAACGACCTGCTGATGAACAAGGCTGTTCTGCGGCAGATCGATGGCAGCCTAGAGACCTGCGCCCAAATGCGCAAGGAGAAGTACATGACTGACATGAAGGTGCGCAAGTACAAGGCACTGCACCAGCGCAAGGCACGCATCGAGGCCTACGAGAAGGCGCAGGCGGAGCGCGAGGCGGCCATGCAAGCGTTGCTGGCTCAACAGAAGCTCGATGCGGAGCGTGAACGCGAACGTCTCGCTAAGCAGGCGGAGGCCGAGGCGGAGGCGGAAGCCAACAAACTGGCAACGGCCGAGTTGTCGGCCGATGGAACTGCCGCTGCAACTCCGACTGCAACTGAGGCAATTGCTGCAGGCGCCGACTGCAACAGCGAGGATAAAACGGAGGAGGAGAAGGAAAAGCAGGAGCAACAACAACTACAGACGCCGGAGACGGAACAACAACCACAGCCCATGGAATTGGATGGCGATGCAGCACTGCCAATTGCAACAAGCACTGATTCTGTGGCGCCTCAGCCCGCTGTCTCCATAGCCGATGTGAGCCCTTCGAAGCAGCTAGCCAAGTTGGAGGAGTACCAACAAAATGGCGGCACAGCAGGAGCCGGAGTGGCGGTGGCGGACGGTGGGATGACGGCCCTGCTGCAGGCAAAGAAGAGCGGCGCTCGCAACTCCATCAATGAGGATGGGCACGCGCAGAGCCACGATGTGAGCATCATTGAGGACGACCTCTCCGACTTGGACTCGGAGATAACCAATGTGGAGGAGGACGAAGACAATCGCCTTAGTGCTGATGAGCTACAAAAGAAGCTGGACAAGATTGTGCGCGCTTCGCTCAACTGCAAGGAGGCGCTGGAGAAGAGCACCAATCAGCTACGAGCCGCTTGCTTTGGCCAGGATCGTTTCTGGCGGCGCTACTGGAAGCTGCCAAAGGCTGGCGGCATATTCATCGAAGCCCTAGAGTCGGCTCAGAATGACATTTGCGACTATCACGAGGCACTGGAGGCCATGGACGAGCAACAGCAGAAGCAGCAAAAGCCAGACGATCAGACAGCCAAAGTAACGGAACAGGTGGCAGTCGATGGTGGAGCTCTGCCCGAAGAAACGGCCGAAGATACAACAGATGCGCCACCAGCAACAGCAGCAGCAACAGCAGCTGCAGCAGAGCCCATGGAGGTTGATGAACTAGCGGAAGTGGACAGGGACAAGGCACAGCAATCGAATCATCAGGCGGAGCACGTAGTCGACGACGACGACGATGACGATGATGACGTGACGGAGATTAACAAAGTGGAGCCGGAGATTGTGGATCTGGGCGACGACGATGACGATATGCTGCCCTCCATAGCAAAGCCCGTTGAGCCGATTGTGACGAGGCCCGAGATTAAGGTCAAGTCGGAGATGGAGCTAATGGGACCGCCGCCGACGGTCATCTCCACAAAGACGGACTTCGAGGCCGAGATCAAAATACCCACCATTCCGGGTCTGATACCAACGCTCAGCAACAACAACAACAACAACAATAACAATAACAACAATAGCAACGGCAGCTGTGAAAAAATGGAGGCAGTTAGTCAGGAGGACTTGAAGAAGGAGGATGACTGCATCATTGTGTCGACCACGCAGGTTGGCGAAGACACCACGCCCCGATGGTTCTCGATTGTGAAGCGCGAGGTGCCGCTGATCAGCGAGCTGCCGGCGGAGGAGGGCGGCGTGGTGGCCACAGATCTGCAGCTTAGCTATGCCAGCTACCAGAACTGCAGTGCGCAGCTGCAGCTGCAGGGGCATCCGTGGGATCTGATCAACAATATGCAATACTATAGCATACCCATGGAGGAGTGCAAGGTGGATCCGACCAAGTTCAGTCAGGAGTGCATCTTTACGCTGTCGGGTCTGGACGAGAAGCAGATGCAGGCCAAGCTGGACGAGTACGAACAGGCCAAGTTAACGGTGTCAAAAAACGGTCTGGCGTCTCCTCATCGTTGCCAGACAACCGATGAGGAGCAGCAGCAGCAGCAGCAGCAGCAGCAGCAGCAGCTAATGAAGTTGTCCAAATCCGAGTCTGAGTCGGAATCGTTTTTTCGTTTGCGCGCTGATGCCGCACCGGACACAGGCGGCGGGAGCGGCGAAGCTACCGAACTAAAGCCCAAGATTGAGCTGCGTCTGGACGAGGCCTTGTCCCAGGCATATTATCACAACATAGCGAACATGTCGCTGAGCAGCGTGCAGACCTATATACCGATCGACATTCCGCTGCCGCTCTCGATGACGCCGGACGAGCACCGGCTGTTGGAGCAGGTGAAGCTGGCCGGGTTCCCGGAGAAGGTGCACGGTGTCTATGTGCCACGCAGGCAGCGTTATGGCTGGTGGCAGCTGGACGATGAGCAGAAGCTGCGCCAGCTCTTGAAGACATTGAATCCGTCGGGATTGCGGGAGCGTGAGCTGCAGGAGAATCTAACGCGTTTCCTTGGACTTGAGCAGCCGTTGGGCATCAATTATCAGCTGAAGCTGAACGAGGCCCAGGCTGAGCTGGTGGAGTATATGCTGCCGGATCGGCCCGCCGACTGGAACCCCAAGGTAGCCAGGCGAGTGGAGCTGGCGCTGTTGGAGCAGCTTGAGTCACTCGAGGATAAAATTGCCAGCGCCTCGATGCAGCTGAAGAACTGGCAGTTGCCCACGCGCAGCGACAACGATCTGAATCTGGCCGAGCAGGAAGACTTGACCGAGGCGGACTTTGTTAGCATCATACCCATGATCAGGGAGCGTATCATTGATCTGGAAGCGAACATCGAGCGACGCTATCTAAAACCTCCGCTTGGCTCCCAGACCGGCGATGCCCACCTGGCTGTTATTGCACAGAATCAACATACCTCGACGCAGACGCAAAACTCTGCCTCGGCGGCCGCCTATCTGCTGCAGATGCAGCAGCAGCAGCAGCAGCAACTGATGGCCCAGCAGCAACAGCAGCAGAGCCAACAGCCCGGCAATAGCCTCAATGCCTCCGCCTTCAATGAGCGTGCCATGGCGCTGGCAGCGGCTGCCGCGGCAGCTGCCCCCAGCACCAGCCTGGCATCCACATCCTGCGAGACAGCTGCAACGGCTGCAGCAGCAGCAGCAGGAGCAGCAGTAGCAGCTGGAAGCATCGAACCCTGCTCTGGCGCCGCATCGCCAGCGAGCAACTGCGACAGCGACAAGGACGAGAAGGTGGAGAATATACCCAAGGGCTTGGTGCAATGGCGCGATGCTGTCGCCCGCTCCCACACCACCGCCCAACTAGCCATGGCTCTCTATGTGCTGGAGTCCTGCGTGGCATGGGACAAGAGCATCATGAAGGCGGTAAGTGTCCTTTCATCTTGTTCCTTTCTCTTTATTTTGTTTTTGGCATTTGCTTACCTCTTAGCTTGGCACCCCATTGCAATCCACCAAAAGAACCCGCAATCCCCCCACTTGAACCCCCTTCCATACTCCATTTAGTTTTTGGCATTCATATATACTAAATGTACATATACGCACATCCCAGTACTTAACACTAAATACCCCATAACCATCACAACCACACACACACACACCTACTCACACCTACACACATACACACACACATGACATGTGCACTAACCATTTTCACCAGCTTTTTCTTTTAATCGTAAATAGTTTCTGTAGGATCCATGTGACCCAAGAGCTAAATAAGAGAAATATATGCATAATAAGCACAATCGAATATAAAAATTTAGAAATATTATATTTTCCATGTGTAAAAACAGGTAATTCCAGTTTTGTGGTATTACCAAAATTGTGAAAAATTTAAAGATAAAAAAATCTATTTAAGGAAAGTTTTATATAGAAATTGACACAGGTTGAGAAGTATTTTTCAAAATTTATATATATAAATATATATAAATACATATATATATTTATATATATTTATATATATTTATATATATTTCAGAAAATGATTAAATGATATTTAAACAAATTTATAAGGTCCCATATTATATAGTCATACTCCTATATCATTGCCAGGCAATTCAAAATCTGTTGCAATTCCCAACTAGTTTTTCCTTATCTCTTTCTGGGTCACACTTGGAATTTTCTTGTGTCGCATGCTATTTTGTAGAGTTTCGTAGCGTTTTGTAGAGTTCTATTTCCTTTGCAACCCCTTCGTCCTTAATTGAACAAAATTATTGACTGCCTTGAAATTAATTCGATGTTTTTATTGTTTGTTCTGTTTCTTTCTTAACACTTTCGCTGAATGTTTGACTTGTTTGTTGTTTGTGGTGTTCAATGGTGTTCTCTTGTTCAAAAATCAAAAAACGAATTTAACGCTTTCATACTCACACACACACACACTCTCCCATACATACATACAAACACACATTCCAATCCACAACAACATACACTCATACACGCATACACACTCAAACATACATATATAAACACACGCCATTTGTTTCACAATCGAATGCTTTTGTTGCCATACCCGCTACCGTTATCCGTTTACCCGTTTGCCCGCTGAAACGAACGCAACATTTCCTTCAAACTGTGACTCGAACGAACTCGAACTCCGAACGCAACTCTCCAACTCGAACTTGACGTGAACCAACAAATGACTGCGTACAAAAGTATGCAATGCCCGCAAAGAACAACAAGTCCAACAAGAAGAAAAGTAACGCCAAAAAGCAGGCAACACCAAAGAAGAAGCAGCAACAACAACAACAGGATCAAGCCACATCGAAACCAAAACAGTCCAAGAAAGAAAAGGACAAGGAGAAGAAGCAATCGACTAAAGCAGCGCAGAGCAAATCAAAGCAAACGGAAAATGTTAAGGAAACGCCGCCAGCGACTAAAACTGCATCGATGACCATTAAAATAAATTTGAAAGCTCTGGCGCAAAATGGTTGCGACCACAACAATTCCACCTCGAACTCAAACTCTGACTCGAACTCGAACTCGGACAGTGACTATTCAAACTCGCATTCGAACGGCAAACGGAAACGACGACAAGGACGACGTTCAGGCACTACTACAAACTCTTGCAAATATTCAAACTCCTTACAGAATTGCCAGTTCTGCACCTCAGGCGAGAATGAGGACAAGCTGCTGCTGTGCGATGGCTGCGACAAGGGCTACCACACCTACTGCTTCAAGCCCAAAATGGACAACATACCCGATGGCGACTGGTGAGTATAAAGCCAACCAAACCAAATCAAACCAAACCGAGCTAAGCCAAATCAAATCAAACCAAATCGAACCAACTCAAGTCTAACCTAATCAAACCAAATCGAACCATTTATCATTCGGTCATACATTTGTTCATCCTCTCTCTCTCTCTCGCTCACACACATTTGTCGCATTGTTTTGAATTTTGTTTACTTTTGTTTCGTACCACCAAATCAAACCAAATCAGCCCGCCCGCCTACGCCACGAACTGTGCCGCGTTCCGCCCCCTAATTCACCTGCTATCAAATTTTTTAGCCATTTGCAACTAACGAGACTCTCCTGATTTACAGGTATTGCTACGAGTGCGTCAACAAGGCGACCAACGAGCGCAAGTGCATCGTCTGTGGCGGCCATCGCCCGTCGCCCGTTGGCAAGATGATCTACTGTGATCTGTGCCCGCGTGCCTATCACGCCGACTGCTACATTCCGCCACTGCTGAAGGTGCCGCGAGGCAAGTGGTATTGCCATGGCTGCATCACACGCGCTCCGCCTCCGAAGAAGCGCAGCGCCGCCAGCAGCGGCGGCAGCAGCAGCAAATCGCGACGGGATCGCGATGCCAGCACCGCAGCCAAGCGACGAGGCAGCGACAAACAGCAACTGCTTGCATCAGCTGGCAGCATGGAGCAGCTCTGCTCCATCGATCCGCATCAGCAGCAACAACAACAGCAGCAGCAACAGTTGCAGCTGCACAGCTCTCAGCAGTCGCTGAACTCGTCGCATGATGAGTCCATGACATCCTTGCCAGCGCCGCTTAGGTGAGCAACCTTTTCCAATTCAAATGTATTTCATATTGGACTCAATTTTGACTTCATTCTCGTCTTTGCAGTCCGGCACATTCGATTGCTTCCGCCACTTACGATGAGCACCATCACAACAACTCAATCGATGCCAGCCGTTTCCAGGCGCACGTCGGCAACAACAATGGTGGGACGCAGCTGGAGGAGAGTGCTTCCTTTGCGTCTGGCTATGCGGCACCGAATAACTTTGGCGTGGTGCCGACGCCGCAGGCACAGGGAATACAGTTTGTGGCCATGTCGCCGCGAGCTGTGACACCCACACGAACACCGACGCCCACGTTGACGCCGACGCCTACTTCGACGCCTGTGCCAGCGCCAACGCCACCGCCGCCGACGCTGTCAGCGCCGCTGCAGCCACCGACGGCAAATGTGGCGGCACCTGTCTTAATGCAGTCCTCGCCCACGTCGCTGCTGAACGTTGCCTGTCAATCGCCGCCGCAGCAGCAGCAACCGCTGTTGGCTATGCCGTCGCCGCGAACATGCACACCGACGCCACCGAGCGCTGGGACGCAAATGTCGCCGCCACCGATTAACATACACGCCATTCAAGAGGCCAAGGAGAAGCTGAAGCAAGAGAAGAAGGAGAAGCATGCCACCAAGAAGCTGATCAAGGAGCTGGCTGTCTGTAAGACGCTACTGGGCGAAATGGAGGTAAGGCAAATGACCTAGTTGCTTTTGGTAATTGGCTAATTGATGTATCCTTCGACAGCTGCATGAGGATTCCTGGCCGTTCCTGCTGCCTGTGAACACCAAACAGTTTCCCACATATCGCAAGATCATCAAAACGCCCATGGATCTGTCCACAATCAAGAAGAAACTGCAGGATTTGAGGTGAGTTAACCGGTTCGATCATCAATTGATTTTGCTTATCAAATCAAATCAAATCTTGTTTCAGCTACAAGTGCCGTGAGGACTTCTGCGTGGATGTGCGACAAATATTTGACAACTGCGAAATGTTTAACGAGGATGACTCGCCAGTGGGCAAGGCGGGTCACGGCATGCGCAAGTTCTTCGAGTCGCGCTGGACGGAGCTCACCGACAAGCACTCCTGATACCCTAACGTGTCGCAGCTAAGTCCAGCCGCAGCCGCAGCAGCAGCGGCAGCAGCAAATGTAACTGCAGCAACTGGAAGTACAACAGCAACAATAGCCACCACAACAACAACGACGACGACGACAATGCAGCCAGCAGCAACGGCAACAGCACAATTCTGGTAGAGATCGGGGCAAGTGTAGGAGAAGGCAGTTTAGCTATAGAATTTGTATATAACAAAGGATGAACAAGTAGTAGAGGGCTAAGCATAAGTATGTAGCGATCGTTTGTATTATTACGCATTATATTAAAACAAATATACATACAAATACTATATAGAGACAAAGGTAGAGACAGAAAGTGAGAGAGAAAGAGAGAGTATTCAACGTCCTAGGTTTGAGTTACATGCAAAGATCTTCGATCTGTGAATATATCTGTAGCCACAAACTCACAAAAACTCAATGTGTATGGAGAGGAGGAGAGTATAACTATTTAGTTACTTTGCAAGCAGCAGCAGCGGCAGCAACAGCAGCAGCACTTTGGACTACAACTACTAATTGGTAGAAAAGCTGTTGAAACTAAACTGAACAGTCATTTGTGTGTCTATGCAACATTTGAACAGTATTTGCGCACAAAGCTGCTTTTGCTTTGTTAATATATTTTGATTTGGATTAATTTAGTTGTTCGGATAGTAGTTAAACTGTAACTGTAACTGTAACTGTAACATGTAACTCTTAACTGTAATTCTAACTATACCTACCTACTATAAATATAAACCCTATGCTTTATGGTTTACTTTGTATTTGATTTGATAGAAATCACAGTTTTAATTTGTATCTGTACTTATATATATATATATAGTGAAGCATTCAATTGTATTTTATATTTATATATATATATATACACATATATATATATATATATATATATATGAATGTGACCCAAAACCTAAATCTAAAACTAAACTTACCTATAACATACTCAAAAGGTAGATGGCCGCATTTTGTAAATGAATTCAAAATTTAATTAAATGAATACAAAAATTTGTTTATTACAACAACAAATAACAAACAACAACCACAACATTTATGCTTTTACATTCAAATGTTTTTGGCAGAACGCATAATCGTATAGTATACAGTATTAAAGGAAGCACACACACACACATAAATATTTATGAATAAAAAAATGATAAAAAACAAACGAAAATTTAAGGCAATTTTACAGCTTAGCTTAGAGACGATATAAACTGAATATGAATGTGGCATATTAGGAAGCAGCTGCAACTGCATCAATTGCATAAAGCACAACTTTTAGCTGTAAATACAATAATTTAAACAAATTAATAAACAAATGAAATATTTAACAAAATATACATAATCTCTCGAAACACACAAAGTCAACTTAAATATACACAAAATACACAATCTATATATATATATACATAAATATATATGAGAGAATATTTACATAATGTGAATTTTTCAATAAAATTATTAATCATTTGCAGTGCCGCACAATAATTGAGAAAGAAAAGCAAACAAAGTTGACAGAGACAGCCAAGTTGAAAGACACAGATCAAGGCGAACGAATCCTCAGCCAGTTGAAGCGAAACCAAATGCAATCTGAATTCGAGTTGCATTTGGTTGCTGTGTGTGTCGAGATGCATTCACAATAGACAGAGCCACAGACAGAGAACCTCAACAATCGAAACTACCTACAAAAAACAGAAAACAGAAAACCGAAAACAGAAATTGGTAAAAGAATAAAAAACTCAGTGCCCAATCAATATCTAGCCCCTTTTATTACCAATTATGCCATGAATCTTAACATGTATATAGATAGCTGCACAGTTGACGATGACATCCTCGCCCTCTGCCCCTCCCCCTGCCTAAACTTCCTGATGTACATACTTTTTGGCGCCCGCTCATATCACGCACACGCACACACACAATCGCACACACAACTGATAGACGCAGCCCATCATTTATCCGAGTATCTTTAGCATATATATATACATATAGAGCCTGATAACTGAATCGCATGTGTGTTGTTGTTTTTGGTGATACATAACAGAAAAACATTTATTTTTAAAGCGTATTTAACTAAAAATAAATATTAAAACAAATATCTTAACATATACAAAACGAAACCTATTTAATGACGGAATATTAAACATATGATTGTGAGCAAAACAAAAACAAAAAAAAAAAACAAAAATATTAACAAAAAACTTACGATAAATCGAAGATGAAATCATAAAAAAAAATAATTTTGACATTTGTGCACTCATGGAAAACAAATACAACTAAATAATATCAAAAATGTAACCAAAGTCTTTTACTTAACTAAGGGTTATTGGTCTATGCTGTGTTATACTCAGTAATACTAAGACTTTAGAGACATATTGTGTCTATATCTTTGTCACTTTATTCATTACGATATTTCATTTAGTTCGCGCAGCTCTTAACTTGAGCTGCAGCTAATGCATCTGCTTAATTGCATCATTTATCGTATCGTAATTCTTTATATTTTCACAGCTATATTGAATTTTTATTATTTTTACTTTAAGCAACTTCAGCTTTATAGTGTGATTTGAGTTTTTGGCACTATCTGCCAACTTCTTTGCTCAGTTACGCCTTGCTTATGGCTGATTGTTTTTTTTTTTTTGCTGCAGTCGGGAGTACACGACTCAAATATACCTGGAACTCTGCGCAGAGCAGAATAGCTTCGGTTCTACTTGTACGATTTTAATGAAACTTTCAGAACTAACAAATGTGACAGCTAAACATAATTTTAGCTGCTATATTTTATAGTATTTGGAGGTTCGAAAATTTACGTTGTTTTTTAAAACAAAAATATGAACTCAAAGGTTATGAATATTCAAGTTATGCTTCGTTAATCAAGTCAAAATTACAATATGCCATAGAACAAATAATATATATATATACATATATATATATATATATATATATATATATATATATATATATATATAAAATTTAATTAGTCCTTTAAAAATATATATTTTTAGCTCGATGGATAAAATATATTTAAATTCTGCGTAGCACTTTGGAAGCCTTTAGCTTCTATGGTCTTTATATTAGGCTCACAAAAAAAAAGAAATATGTAGTTTTGAGCATTATAAATTAATTAAACTTAAAATTAAAAACATGCTTTGTTTACTTGATGAATATATATTTCAATTATGAAATGTCTAAAATTAAGAGTTTACGAGATTGCTGTGCTCACAGGGAGTAATAGTCGCATGGATACAAAGATCAATGGCCAGATTGACTCAGTTCCTTATCCTAATACTGATCGACGCCTGTTTCTGTGTCTTACATACATTGAGTTGGGAATTCATAAAGTAACCAGGCCTAGTCCTTCCGTCATTATCGTTGCATGAAAAGGATGTGCTCTGTTGAGCGACAATGGCATCTCTCACAAGTCATTTTCTTGTGCCTGCGAATGCTTTTGCAAGTCAAGCGTGCGTCAAGGGCTGCTTTGACCGCAAGCTCCATCAAGCCCCATTGCAGCTGATTGGACGTTGCAGCACGCCATTTACCGTTGCTGTTGCAGTCATCCGATCAGTCGAGATCTGCTCAATGGCCATAATCAAATGAAATGCATGACAATTACAAATTTACGAGTTGTTGGTTTTGAAAGCGCATCAAAAAGTTACCGCAACTGTCAGACGGGGCTACAACTCTTGCAACTGGCCAAGTGCTCTGTAAGGGCTGACCAATCAGTCAATTGAAGCGGCAGTAGCATGTGGCAACTGCACCACAGACGCTGCCAAACTGTGGCAGCTGCAACTGTAAATCAAAATGTTTTTTTTTTTTTGTTTTGGTTTTTGTTTTCGATCTTTGGCAATTTGCCAGAAAATCCATCAATTTTGGCTTCAATTTCGCTGGGCAGCCTCGTAAATCTATATGTTATATATATTCGCATATGCTGACAGATTGTGGCAGGCAAAGGAGTTTGCTCTGAGCTTTTATGTAGGTGCGACTTTTACTGTGAAATTTGGCCGCACATAAAATGTTAGTGTGGGACTCGACAATGTGTGGGAACAGCGGCCCCTTTAGGTGTTAATACGCTGCCCTTTTAACGATCCACACACACACACACAGACGCACAGGTATGAGCTTATACATATACATAATCCGGAACAATCAGCGTTAAAAAGCCGACAACCTGCGCACGCAAACGACTCATTAAAAGCAGAGACATTTTCGTATATAAGTTTGTAAGTGAGAGACTACCTACACATATGCATATATATATCTATATATCTGAATATATATACAGAGATTTATACATGGAACTGGGGCCTGTGCTCTGGCCAATGCCAATGCCATTGACAGTTTGAAAACTGGAAACTCGAAACGCTTTAAAAATCACTGATTTATGTAATTATTCGGAGCGGGACAAGAATTTCGTGCACGTCTGCATTATTGTTGTTGTTGTTGTTGTTGTCTGTGAGAGAAGAGTCGAAGTCACAAGAAATCAAGCACCGAAGGCTGATCAACTAAAAAATACCTTCTGGGTAGACATAGTATAGTCAAAAATTGCTTTATTGAGATCTAAAAAAGGTTTGTGAAATTGAGAATTGAAATCGAATAAAAGTTATTGATGAGAAACTATATATTATTATATTATATATTATTAGAGATATTATATATAAACACATAATAAATACATATAGAAATACGTAGTAACAAATTGGAAATATTTTTGCAATTTTACACATTTCTTACTCTAATATTTTTATACTTAAATTCTTTTACTTTTTCTAGTTTTGAATTTAAATATATTTGTTTTTAAATAAGTTTTTATTTTTGTTTCTAATTTATTTGCTTAATATTTTTAGTATTTACATGTTGTAATATTGTTTAGATTTTTTATTTTTAAAATTTTTATTATTTTAGTTAATTTATATTTAAATATTTTTAACAATTGTTATATTTTCTGTATATCAATACTGAAATTTGTAATAATATTTAAATAGTTTAATAATACGCTTGCCGTGTTAGCTTGTTATAACCCTTTAAATTGATCAGCCGAGGGTATAAATGCGACGACAACAGATGTAAGAGCCACGGACCAGG